TTTTTTTTTTTTTTGTGATTTATTGATGTAACGTGTAAAATTGAATAAAGTTAAGTGTGCAGCGGAAATTTTCGTCAACCAAATTACATTCATAAGCAAAAACAAGTAAAAAAAAATTCCAGCAACCATAATGAAACTAACGGTTTCACGAAACGTGAAAAACACATCTCAGATACCCACACATTGAAAGGAAAATAAAAAATTAAAATTAGAAAATAAAACTGAAAACGAAAAAAAAAAAAAATGTTGTAAATACAAAAAAAAATTCTTCTCAAAACTTAATAAGTCCATGACCATTGCATAAAAAAGTACAGAACCATCATCCGCCGGTCACTGTTCAGAACTGATATTTGTAGTAAAAAAAACTCTGAAAAAAAGAAAAAACAAACACTATTAATAGTTTTCTCTTTTAAAATATGTATTCATAAATTTACAAGATGTAATAACAGAAAAAAAGTACTCAAAAAAAAATATATATATATATATTTAAAAAAATTATTAAAAAAAAAAAGAGAAAACGAATGTCCCTGGAGAGGTGGAAAGTTTGCGCAGCAAAAGCACAACCGCAAATGACGACAGTCGCGAAGTACCTAGGATACGTACATAAATTAATATCGCCGAAACAAACGTATATCTCAACCAGCGAAGAAAAATGCGCGAAAAAGCGAATGCCTTGAATCAGGGACAGAAAATCGATTCCCGCTATTTAAATAATATTATTTGCAGCTAAATATTTTTACTTTTTTCTTCCTCTTTGCTTTGTTACTTTTATCTTACACACGCGTTATACACTTTTTTTGCATTTTTTTTTCCGAAGACTTGCAGTCTGTTGTCTCCTAACTGTTATAATTGTTCGGTCCAGTCAACCAACAGTGATGCTTTCAGTTCAGTTATATTGACATTGTACCTTTTGTACGGGGATGAGTAAGGCATGTTTGCAGAGATATGTGTTTAGTATTTTGATGTAAATTTTTTTCTCTCATTTTTGGTCAGTTATGTATAGTTTTTTTTTTTTTTTTCGTTGCTGCTGTTATAGTCGTTGTCGTTATTGTTGCTGTAATATTTTTTTACTAGTAAATTTACCGAACGACCAATATCTTTTTATTTTTTGCGTAAAATAATAATTTTATTTACTTATTTATTTATTTATTTTTTTCAGCTACTGACAGTCAACGTGGTCTTTAAAAAAGTGATGGTATGAGCAGTGTAAAACCACCTTATATTATCATTACTGCTTGTTCGCAGTCACATCCATTTGAAGAAAGGAAGGTGAATGTACCGTCTGCTGAAGAAGAAGCTTTGAAAATTGGCAGATCAGTAGCCAAATGGAAACCAAGCCCAGATAATGCAATTTTTGATTGTAAAGTTAGTACTTTTCTTTTAACCCTTTTTAACAGCTAAATGGAAACTTTCAAGTGGGAAAAACTTTTTGCCTACCATTCTTCGATAATATAATATGATTTCA